GTCTGTGGGGCCAGGTTGGCAGGAAAACTGCTCATAACAGATAACAACCAAACACAACAAAATAAAACAACATAACATAAAATGAAAATCACCATATCCCATACAAGCTGAACAAAGCAGGCCAGCAGAGGGAAAAGGCCCAAAGAACAGGAAAAAGAATCAAAGAACCACTCTTGCACACACTCGGGTGTCCCATAGAAATACTAAGCTGAAATCTGTAATATAAAAGAAACCCAGAAAAATCAAGACCCTGACTCAGCCAGGGACCAGAGTGAGGGATTACACTTGGAGGAAAGAAGAGAGTAGTGAATGTCTTCATTTGACTCGCCTGTTTCCCTGGACTGATCAACTGGAGTGTTCACAGGGATGCTGTCCATTGACTTTTAATTTTGTTTCAGAGAAGTTCTTAGGGCATGAGCAGAAGGAACACAAATCATTTGCCAAAACATCACAGGGATGGCCTCTAGACAGGTTGCTGTTAAAGTCCATGCTTCCCTCTGAAATACCTTCATCTAGGCTTCTACAATATCCTTTGCTTTCACCACTGTCTTCCAGTTAATGCCTGTTTACAGCATTCAACCTCTTTTCTGTTCCAAACTCACGAAGTCTTCCACATTCCTCTAGAAAGCAGCATAATCAGGCTCGTCACAGTGATACCCCACTCCTGGCACTGACTTTTATATTATTTACTTTTCTATTGCTAACACAAAACACCATGGCTAAGGGAACTTATAGAATAAATTATGTATTTGCATGAGTCCATGATGCCAGCATTATCAAAAACTTTAAAAGGCCAGCTTCTAAAATTTTTGCTCAAGGTTTAAAAAAAAGGGGGGGAACTACAAATAAACAAAGGAGCTAAAATCCGAGGGGAGGAAGAATTGATTCACACACGACTGCTCCTCTTCATGTTCCCTTCTTCTGCTGCTCCTTTCCTCTCTTGCTGTAACCCTTTCTGTCTCTCTCTCTTTCTGTTTCTTCCCAGTTCTTGGGGGGCACAGGCATATATAAATATACATTTGCAACAGTAATTATTTTTCCAATATAATGTGAGGCTTGGATTTCTCAAGGTCAGCAAGGCAGATAAGATTTACACACAGAGAAATAATCTAAAACTACCGGGAGAAACTTTTAGCATCGATTGCTTAGGGCTGTAGGTCTAAGTTTTATTTGCACAAACAAAACCCGGTGCCCTCAGTGCTCTGGCCTCAGTGGCAGCACAGACCTTCAGGAAAGTTTACTTTACCCTGAGGATGAGCATAGGAGCTGATTACCTCTGTCATTATATTTTCAGGGGAAACAGGAGGGAGCAGTAAATCTCTGAGCTAAAATCGTGAGTTAATAAAACAAGAAGTTTGATAATCTTTTAGTGCAGAGTTAGTTTAGGTTATTGTTTCTCTACCTGCCAGTGAGGTAAAGCCAGGACATGCTTATATTTGCTATCTATCTAGGCAGCTTTTATCATGTAGTAATTCTATGTCCTTGGATGTCTGAGAATGTTTTAGATGGGATGCTTTGCCTGGGCCATAAACACTGACGAAATGCTTATCAATAAAGGTAATTTCAGGAAGGCAGATCTTTGCAATTGCAATGGAGAGAGGAACAAGGACCTGATAATAGGAAATGGTTCTCACACGTAGCTAAGGGATGTAATCAGTAAACTGGAACCTGTTAATGGAAAACAGGTTTTACCCATAGCTAGGGAGTGTAATCAGTAAACTCCAAATGCATGGGGGAGTTTGGTCCCAGTAAATAATTAGATAGTGCTAAACTGTGGGAAGTAAATCCCAAGTTTGTTACAGAAAGGAATAAGCTACAGGAAGAATCCACAGTAAGAAACAGCCAATCCATTCTTAAGACTATAACAACAAATACAGATTTTGTATTGGTTTCATCCATCAGGAGAATCCTCAACTCCAAGTGTTCCATGAGATGATAGTTGTATACTTACTGTGTCATCTTGTGCCTTGTAGCACAGAGGCATGGTGGGAGGAGAAAAAAGCTGATAGCTCACATCTTGGATCACAAGAACAAGAAGAAAGAGGTTTTGGATGGGGCAATCATCGCACCACCTGTGAAATAACTGCATCTCCTGCGACGTCTCTGTAACTTGGAGGAAGGCAGCTCCAGTAGCCACACCTACACACAGAAAGGCTGCATCTTTCCGTTGCTAGTGGGCTACCTGAGGAAGACCAGTGAGAACGACGTGCTTCCTGTGGTATCCGTGATGAGAGAAACAGAGTCACGGTTACTCCCAGATGTAGGATCTGTGGTCACCTGTAAGGTCTCTAGCATCAACTCACGTTTTGCTGAGGTCCACATCTTGTGTGTTGGGTCCACACCACTGAAAAACTCCCTTTGAGGAACTATCTGAAAGGATAGATATCCGAGCAACTGAAAAGCATAAGGTTGAAATTTACAAGAGTTTCCGCCCGTATGACGTAGTTTTGGCCAAAGTTATCTCCCTGGCTGATGCACAGTCCAATCACCTGCTGACCACTGCTAAAAATGAGTTAGGGGCAGTGGCGGCCCACAGCAAATCAGGGTTCGAGATGGTTCCCATAAGCTGGTGTGAGATGCAGTGCCCTAAGATCCACACTAAAGAATTCCAGAAAGTGACCAGAGAGCAGCCTGATTTCTTACAAACTTCAGCACACTTTACCCCAAAGACAGAGTCAACTATTTCCCTGTGTGAAAAGAAAATCAAAATACCATGGTCTTTATTAAGGTACCTCTAGTCAGCTAGCAGTTACCTCTTGAAAAATGTGCCAGAAATACATTTGTATGGTAATGATTACATAAGTCCCATGAATCGGAGACAGGAAGATTGTTAGTTTCCAAGTTTTAGTCCAGCCTGAGAGACATAGTAAGACTCTTTCAACCAAAAATATAATAAATAAAATATATTCTATTTGAAATGCTATTCTTGAGAAAAGTAGGGTAGAGAACTGAATACAGAATTCTGAATAGAGGAATCCAAAATGGCTAAAAGACACTTAAGAAAGTGCTCAACATCCTTAACCATCACGGAAATGCAAATCAAAACAACTCTAAGATACCATCTTACTCCTGCCAGAATGGCTAAAATTAGAAACACCCATGACAACTTACGCTGGAGTGGATGTGGAGAAAGGGGAACACTCCTCCACTGATGGTGGGAGTGCAAACTTGTACAGCTATTTTGGAAATCAGTATGGCGGTTCCTCCGGAAAATGGGAATCAGTCTACCACAGGACCCGGCATTTCTGTTCTGGGGCATATATCCAAATGATCCACATCCATGCTATGTTCATAGCAGCATTATTTGTAATAGCAAGAACCTGGAAGCAACCTATATGCCCCTCAACTGAAGAATGGATAAAGAAAATGTGGCACATCTACACAATGGAATACTACTCTATGGGAAAAAAACCATGGAACCTTGAAATTCTCAGGCAAATGGATGGAACTTGAAGAAACCATTCTGAGTGAGGTAACCCAGTCACAAAAAGAGGATCATGGTATGTATTCACTCATATATGGATTTTAGACATAGAGCAAAGGATCACCAGCCTACAATTCATACCGCCAGAGAAGCTAGGATACAAGGAGAACTCTAAGAGAGAGACACAAGTTCCCTCACAGAAGGGGAAAGGAACAAGATCTCCTGAGCATATTGGGAATGGGGGGTGGTGGCAGTGAGAGGAAAGGAAGTTAGGAGAAAAAGGAGAGGAGAGGAGAACATGTGGGACCAGGAAGACTGAGTCAGGGAAGGAATAAACGAGAACAAGAAAAGAGATACCATAATATCAGGAGCCATTATAGGTTTGAAGAGAAAACTGACTCTAGAGAAATGTCCAGAGACCTACAAGGATGACCCCAACTAACAATCTGAGCAACAGTGGAAAGGCGACCTCAAATGCCCTTCCCTGATAATGAGACTGATAACTAACTTATATGCCATCATAGAGCCCACATCTAGTAGCTGATGGAATCAGAAGCAGACTCCCACAGCTAAACACTGAGCCAAACTCCTGGAATCCAGTTTCAGAGAGAGAGGAGGGATAAGAAAATGGGGTCAAGACCAGGCTACAGAAACCCACAGAGACAGCTGACTTGAACAAGGGGGAGCTCATGGACCCCCCAGACTGATAGCTGGGAAACCAGCATAGGACCTACTCAGATCCCCAGAACATGGGTCTCAGTCAGAAGGCCTGGGCAGTCTAAGGGACCTCTGACAGTGGAACCAGGATGTGTCCCTGATGCACAAAAGGAATTTGGGAGCACATTCCCCATGGAGGGATACTCCCTTACTCTAGAGGCAGGAGGGAGGGCCTAGACCCTGCTCCAAATGACTTGACAGATTTTGATGATCCCTCCTGGAAGGCCTCACCCTCTCTGTGTAGTGGGGGGATGGGATAGGAGGGAGGGAGAGGGAACTGGGATCGATATGTAAAATAAGAAAAACTAATAATTTTTTTTAAAAAGACAAAAATTTTTTAAAAAAAAGAAAAAATTAAAAAAAAAAGAGAAACACTGTTCTTGGAAAGCTGATTTTTGTTTTGTTCTGGTTTGGTTTGGTTTGGTTTTTGGTTTTTCGAGACAAGAGTATCTCTGCATTGCTTTAGAGCCTGTCCTGGAACTAGTTTGGTTCAACAAAGCTGATCTCAAACTCACAGAGATTCACCTGCCTCTGCCTCCTAAGTGCTGGGATTAAAGGTGTTCTCCACCAGTGTCCCACTATGGAAGTTGATTTTCTTATTCTCTTGGCTGGTGAATCTCATTTAATGGCATTTAGCAAACAGAACCATGCAATATTGGAAATAGCTTATGCATTCTTTACAAAATTGTATGTGTGTATTTTGCTATGATTGGGGAAACACATGATTTTCATTAAAAAAAAAAAAGAGGAAAGAGTTGTTTTGTGGCAAGACTTGTCCTGGAAGACAGAACATAAATGCGTACTCACTCTAGATAGGAAGCCCATGACAGACTAAAGTATGGATACCACTAAGGTCCAATTTGGTGAACCAATGAGTTTTATTAAGGTTACTTACAGAAGCAGAAATGACTCAAATATATTTACATCATCAAATTTGCCCCCCACATGGGTGATACCTCACAAAGGGCACATTTCACAGCCTTCAGGCCAGCTAAACAGGTTGGAAAATGTCCTTTCCAAGTGAATCTGGTCCAAACCTCTTCCAGGCAGCTCAGTTGATCTGGTTTCAGATTCTTCTTTGCAGTTTACCTTGTCTAAGAGTGACTCTGAACAGCTCTTCTTGTTAACTCTTAGGAAGAAGGCACCTGGTGAATCTCTTCAGTTTCAGGGCCATCCTGGGGCTATCTTACATTGTTTGCCTTCTGTCTTAGGGAGATTCCTTGCAATATATAATAGTTCATCTTTGGAGAAATTAGGTACATAAGAGTAACCTAGAAATGATGAGAATCTTTAAACTTTCAAAACCTACCCGAGCCACACAATTCTTCTGACAAAACCACACCTCCTAAGTCTCTCCACACAACATCCCCAAATGAGGATCAAGCATTCAAATGTCTGAGAGTATGGAGGCCATTTCATTCAAGCCAGCATACTGTCCCAATTGAATGGGTGTAGAGTTCCCTTCACAGATCTCTCTGACATTTCCCCTGCACCCAAATATGTCGTTCTATTCAGGGTATTCAACGGTGCTCACACAATTGTGCCACAACTTTTCTTCCATGATTTCTGCTACTTGTTGGGCTCATCTCCAAGTCTCTAAAATAGTAAGAGATGAACTGTTCTCTCTGGTTCACCTCCACACTGAACCTTGAGGACTTCTCTGGCCGTTTTGAGCCTCCAACAGTAGAATCCCAAGAATCACAAGAACCAAGCCAGCCACAGTCATCCTGATGATATTCTCTACTGTGTGATCTTGTGAGTGTGAATCTGCAAATATGAGCAAATAAGACAACAAATTCAGTACCGTCCCCAACTGAAAAACAAGTAGAAAAGATACCTATATCAATAACAGACAATAATATACCAGAGTCAATTTAATGTGTATTTGTTATTTAGTAAATATAAGGCCATGAAAATCTTTATGTTGCAAATATTAAATTAGTTGAATTGATATTTCCATGAGTGTATACAATGTTTATCAACAATCTTAAATATTTTATACATTGTTAATATATAGCTTATTTATTAATAATACATGACATAGGCTGAAAACATAGTTCAATCACTAAAATTATTACTGCACAATCATAACAGACTATTTGGGGTTAAAGGTTTAAGTAGAAACAGAGGTTGTAAAAAAAAAGAGAGAGTAAGGGGAAGGTTAACCAAAACTAAGGATACATGAAGACATCCTAATGAAATCCATTATTTTGTATATATTTAAAGGGGAGTTTAAACGGAAGCATCCTATATGGGTTGACAATGTTGCTTTCAGAAAGTATGGGTTATTAAATGAAAATACTATTTATTGCCAGACACAGAATACCTCCTTATGTGTTACGGGTCAGGGACACCCAAGAAGTACCCAAAACAATACAAGAGTCATTGCTCTTGAATGTATATTATAACTAGATTGTATGTACTTCTTGCTGAAGATGCCACATATTTGTGTAGCAGTATATAGAGAAAGCAACATCAAACTGACTAGAAAGCTCTCTCCCTGCTGACTAGCTTAGATACCACCATAAAGTGTTATGTGGGCTTCAGGGTAAGAAATTACATCAATGGTCTGTCTTTCTAGCTCTGGCCCCTGCATACTATAATAGTGGCCTCTTTGATTAGATTGCCTATTGGTACAGTATTGATATGGTAGTTATGTGTGTAACCAGCTTTGTAACTGGACATATGGTCTGATCTACAGAAAGGATTCAATGGATAGTACTGTAAGCATGGACAAAGGCCCGTGACTAGGGAGGGACGTCACAGGCCCTAGGTGTGAGGAACTCGCATGTCATTTTGCTAAATGGTCATACTGGCAAATTTCATTCTACATGTCTATATTTGTATCCACAGATTTGTGCTTCTCTCAACTTTGGTGACAGACACATCTTTCTTCAGTGGGTAGTGATTAATGTAGATTTCTAACTGGTCAAAATATCAATTTTCACTGCGAGTGCCCATCTCTGGAAGAAACATTAACATCAACCTCCTTAGAGCCAATGCTCAAGGAACATCATGGAAGAGGAGGGGGGAAGGAATATAAGAACAAGAAGACACCAAAAATAGCTACAAAATGTTGATTCTGTTATTGCAACAACTGTTGCACATATCAACCCACAAAAACTGTAGTTACCTACATGAGACCTGTACAAAATTAATCTAGTCAATAATCCAGCATACATGAGGAAGGGACCCTCAAAGCTTCACCCCTAGCTGAGGATCTGTTGGCAATGGTGGCTGCTGGGCATAAGAGTGTCAATTTCCTTTGCAGATGTGACCATTGATAGGCTGACCAAGCCCTAGTGAATGGATATACATACATACATATATATACATATATATGGAATATTAATTGTAATTTTTAAAAGAGAATATGAATGGAGGTGAGATGAAGAAACCAGGGAGAGTTTGAGGGAGGTAGAAGAAGAAGAATATGATCAAAATACATTTTATAAATGCATGAAAGTTTCAAGAATAAACAAGACCACAAAAAGCAAACCAGACAAAATTTTGGCACATATTGGTAAATCATATCTAGGTCTCTTGCCTTACTACTGAGGAGTTATTGAAAGGTGGTAAATGATAGGGAGGGAGAATCATTCTCTTTTGAACATGTGGCCAATAGTAGACTTTTCTATGCTCCAGTAGACCTACAACTACGGGCATCACTAATTGAACTAGGAGGTTATTAAAAAGACATAGAGTTGGGAGTGGATTGTATGAAGAAAGTTGGAAAGGCAAAGTATAAGAGCAAATATCACATTTCACTCTATACACATATGAAAATTTAAAAATAAATGTATTCAGATATTATTTAAAAACAACCCTGCAAAATAACAAAGAATATATGTAAAAGCAAAAACCAAAATCTGTGTGTGTCCGTTGTCCCAATTAGTTTCAGCACTGGGGAGGCAGAGACAGGCTGATCCCTGGTGCTCCCTAGCTAACCAGACTTGCCTACTTGTCAAGCTCCATACCAGGTGAGATTCTGTATCTAAGTCCAAGGTGTATGGCTCCTGAGACTCTCTGTTTTATATAAGTCCACATCAGGCACGCCTCATCTTTCTATTGTTCTCACTCATTTATACTTCTAAAACTCCTGTCTTTCTGCCTCCTGTCTTTCCTTATAACTCACCCTTCATCCTAGTCATGAGCATATGGTCTCCCCAGCACGGTCTTTGAAGAATATGAGTGTCTTATAGGGCCAATGATCCTCAGCTGTGTTTAGGAAATCCAGAGGCTATCAGAGACACAGTATATGCATAGCATATATTGACTGATATGGAAGCTGCATGTAGAGACCAATGTGACATCAGCCTGAGAAAGCTAAGACTGGGATTCTCAGTAGTGCGGGATGGGATGTACCATTTCCCTTCACTGGATAGAACAATCCTATCAAAGCAAGTGTCACTACGACATTAGATTGTCAGAGTCTCTCTAAGCGCCATGGACCTGCTGGGTCAAAATGGAGGGCTTCCAAGCCTCTCGGAGAGAAGATGGGCTGGGTATTAAGAGTATAGTTCATGCCAAACACCTTCCTCTCCTGCCCATCTTTCCTTGCTGGTCTTGCTGGGTCTCTACATCAAGACTCATGAGCATTCCTTAACTGTCTCTCAGCTTTATTGTATTCCTCTGAAAAAGAGCTCTTGCAAAGAATTTATGGGCTTCAAGTAAATGTCAAAGATAGGATTTCCTCACCTGACAGGAGGAGATTCAGGGTCTCGCTGGGTACCGACCACATCCGAGAGGTTCTCTTATAGTAGCCATAACACCTGAAGGCCCCTCTATGTTTGGAAGTCACTGGTCCCACAGGAAACAGGGCCAGAAAATGTCCATTGGGTTGTTTCTGTGAGTCCTGAGTCCAGGACACATTCTTTTCTCCTTCCTTGGTAAGTATGTACCTTCCATACCCCTGATGTGAGCTACACTGGAGGGTGACATTCTCTCCTGAGGTCACCAGAGAGCTTGGCAGGGCTGAGATGTTGGGTTTGCTGTAGAATCCTAAGAGGAGACAAGCATGTTGAGTGGAAAACACCTTCCACATCATCTAAAGACTGGGCTGTGAGAAGATGCCCTGAGAGGAAAACCCCTTACTCGGGGTATAATCTGAGTTTGGACCTCTTGATAATCCTCTTACCTGTCACCACAAGCTCTAGGAAGTTACTGTGTTCTGACCAGCCAGCAGGGCTGTGGTAGTAGCAGTGGTATAGTCCTGCATCATACTCTGTCATGAATGGAATGGAAAAGTTGGCCTTGTTCCAAGGCTTGAGTAAGCTCTGTGTCTTGAAGGGTTTTGAACTTTCTTCTTTATACAGATAGTACTCCTGAGCTTCTGGGGTCCCCAGACACCAGATAGTAACAGCTTGTCCCTTGGTGACCACAGAGTCTGGTTCAGCCCAGATGGTAGGTATGGGAAATTTTGCTGCAAAAAATAAATAAATCAAATGTTGTGTCCCAGGATATTCCTTTTTTCATATTCTACATGAGCCCCAGGATTCTTGAAGTGTCTCCAGAACAACCCACGTCTGCTGTTATCCATATCCAGAGCACAGGAGTGTTCTTCTGATGTCAGTGTGGAAGCAGCATCTGGTAAGGTTAGGGAAATGACTCACCTGTCACCGCTGTGGTCCTGGTTTCCAAACTCAGCCCTAAAAGAGATTTCTCTGTGAGATTTTCTTCCTGAAGCTCGAGGAAATCCTCTCCTCTACAAAAGCTACCCAAGACCATAGGTTTTCCTGATATGCCAGAACTTAGCTATGGCATGAGATCCATCTCAGACTTGGGTATTCCCTCCACCCTTTGAATCTCACCAAGATGAAACAGCACTATGAGAGGGGAGATCATGATGCATCCCTCCAGGGTTGCAGTCTGATGAGACTACAGTGACTTTCAGGACACAGCGACACAAAGGGTGACCACTGAAGACACTGTGCTCTATGTCACACCAAGAAGAGGGAGTCCTATGCAACTGGCTCACTGACGAAATGCTTACCAAGCAATTGCAAAGCCCCAGATTGCGTATTCAGCACTGGAAATGGAGATAAGGGGAAGTGACCTTGTCAAGAGTACATATGTTATTTTCACAAGACTGTGGCTAAGCTGGGCATGATGTGTACTGAGGGCTGAGGGCATAAGAACGAACAACAAGGCCTCACCCAACTCCAGTTCTCTTCCTCTCCAAGTACAGAAAATAGCTTAAAATATACCTCATCTTTTTCTGAGAAACGACTCCCAGGCGATCGTGACTGAGGACTAAGAGCCTCCACATGGAGTTTTCCCCTCCCTCCTGTCCACGTCTACAATACCACGAGGCCTTTACCATTCTCGTTCATATTTCTCACCCTGAAGCTACACTGGGAAATATGCAAACTGATGTTTCACTGTGGGTCAAAAGTACCAGATAGACACCAAGCACCTGTATTTGTGGCTCATGTGGAGCTAATTTTGAGGTTGTTATACATTTTTTTTTTACTTACATATTAGATTGTGTCATCTCTCCCAGGCACCTTGTAAACTATTCTTCCACTATCCATACCATCAACCACTTTCCCTTAGCCCTCGCTATGTGAGTATCCGTACCAGACATAAGACTCCTTGCTAATGCCTACAAATCCCTTCCTTGGGCTCACAGATCTCACAGGGATGAAGACAGACACTGTAAATGTGGGGAAACCTTATGTAGCTATCTATAACCCAAGGAGACAGAGAAAAAGAGAAGTTAGCGGTTACTAAAAAGTTAAATGGAGTGAGTCCTTGGGGTGCCAGACCATTACGGAAGGGAGGGACCAGGGCATGAAGGCATATCAGGGGTAACTTCAAGATGGTTACACAGTAAAGAGGATCATCAGCTGTTTTGAGGAGTGAAACTCATACAGGGTTCTGGGGCTGCATCTCATGTTTCCAAAGTGCCCATATTGGGAAATTTCAGTTAAACTGACAGGAAACCTTTAAATTTTTATGAATTCTTTGAGAATTTTATACAGCATGTTTTGATTTTTATCCACCCCTCCCCCAACTCTTTCTGGATCCAGCTCTGTTGGTGTTTTAAGATCACCATTAGGTTAGTAATAAATGTAAAAGGATTGGAATTGATAGAAAACTATGATGAGATCCGTAATGATCTGAATCGGCATGGTGGGCCCACTAGTATTCTAAGTGGTGTTCCTGACACAGATTTTAGCTAATGAATATGCTTAGAGTTGAGTGGGTCAAAAAGAGCTCTCTGCATGCCCTTGTCGCTCCGAGAAAGTAAGAGATGTGCTTTTTTTTTCTTTTTATTACTTTTAGAACAATCTTTACAGACCAATCACAGTTCTCTCACCCTCCTGTTCCCCCATCTTCTCCCAGCCCCAAACCTGCCCACTCCTCAGAGATGGTGAGGTTTCCCATGGGGAATAAACAATGTCCATTACATCACTAGAAGCAGGACCAATGCCCTCCCCTGCCCAATCGTATCTAGGCTGAGCAAGGTATCTTTCCATAGGGAATGGGCTCCAAAAACTCAGTTCATGCACTAAGGATAAATACTGGTTCCCCTGCACAAACTGCCCAAGCAACCCAACTGTCACCCACATTCAAAGGGCCTAGTTCCGTTTTATGCGGGTTCCTCGGGTGTCATTCTGGAGTCAGTGAGCTCCCACTAACTCGGGTCAGCTGTTTCTGTGGGTTTCCCAGTCATTGTCGTGACTCCTTTGCCCATATTATTGCCCCTCTCTATCTTTGGCTGGGCTCCAGGAGTTCATCCCAGTTCTTAACTGTGGATCTCTGCATCTGCTTCCATCAGTTACTGGATGAAGGTTCTATGATGACAATTAAGGTGACCCTCGTCTATGGCCATACCACCCTGAACGCACCTGATCTCAGAAGCTCAGCAGGGTTGGGCCTAGTTAGTACTTGGATGGGAGACAAGTAATCAATCTCATTACAGGGGAAAGGCAATTAAAATACCCTCTCCCCTATTGCTTAGATTCTTACTGAGATCATCCTTGTGGGTTCCTGGAAATTTTTCCTAGTGCTACCTTTCTCAAAGTATCCCTTGCCTTGCTTTCCCTCTCTGTTCTCATAATTTGACTTTCCTGATCCTCCTCCTCCCTCCCCTTGTGTGTTATAGTCTCTCACTGGCTTAGAGAGCTGACTTTAAAGACACAACATGTCCTGAGCATGCCTGTTGGTCAGGAACAAATGGTGACCTCTGTTGAGTTGCCTCTCTGAAAATGAGAGGAGTCTGTGGGAAATAAAACTAGCTCTGCTGAACATGCATGGAAAAGAAAGAGGCACTATGATATGTCAGGCAAATAGAGCCCTGTGGCAGACAAGGGTTCTTAGAAGAAGTTCTGTGGTGGTAAGAGGAATGAACTGGTGTGGTGACAGGAACCTAGATTAGGGAAAGAGGCAGATGAGTGGTGATACCAACAGGTCAACTGAGTCTCACTGAACATGGTCAGTACCCCGAGGAACAACATGAATAGTTCAAGATGGTTTGTGTTTGTTTTCTTTTGGAGTTTGTGTTAAAATATAAAGAGAAACATGGAGAAATTGAGTTTAACCTCTGTGGCTTGATCAGAGAATCAAACTTGGCTACCACAACGGTACCAGGAGCAGGTTTGGGAAGGTGTGAACTAATTTGCTTGCACAGAGAAACTAACCTTTTTCCTAACCACTCTTGTGTTTTGGTTCTGGTAATTTCTTTCTTCTTACTCTTTCACTTCTGTAAAAGCTTCTCAACCCTGTCTCTCTAAACTTCCTCATGACTTTTTTGTAGTTCCTCTTCTCTCCTGACCATGGGGAGACACTGATGGGTCAATATTGTAGATTCTGTCTCAGTACTCAGGACACTAATATTCACTGGAAGAAATGTATTTATTTCCATGTAAGATGTGAGGGATAAAATTTACCAATATTCAATCTCGAATAGGTAACAGACTCTCTTAGGGTAGGGTGAAGGTAATGTACTTTGTCACAGTAATGGTGCAGGAATCAGTCAGACCAGAAACTTGGAAGGATTTAAATGTAAATTGCAATCTTCAGGATAATAAATGGAGGTTTAGTCAAATGGTCCATGAAAATCCATAAACAACTTTGTAAGCTAATTAAAATACGGAAGACTAGATGGAATGAAATAGCTTGCATGAATAAACAGTGCTGCTCTCAGAAGCCATATATCATTAAATAAAAATCTCAGTGCCAAGTGTAAGATACTTTCACTCCAGTTGTTGATCAGGGAGACTCCTGGGGCTGTCAAGGCTCAGGAACAACATCATCTGCTGGCATTGCTCTGGACTGGCCACCAGAAGTAGATGGTGAGACACTATTGTTGAAGACTCCATGCACTTTAGCTGAGAAGGCAAAACTGAAAGGAACCGAAAGTTTCCTTCTTTCTGATTTGCTTTAATAGCGCTGGAAAGTGTTATACAGGCTTCTGGGAAAGGAAATCTTTCAAGGACTGTACCCAGCTGAGCTTCTTGGTCTTGATAGTGATGATGTATTTTCTCCAAAATTAAAGAGTGATAAGCATGAAGTGTTATTCTTATTTTACCCAGCTTTCTTCATAGAATGACAAATTACATATTGAATATTCTCAGTGATCTAGGTTCTTCCTCATTGATTTATTTGTAGAACCATGAACAGCCATTTTGAAGTTGTAAATTTCTGATGGTTTACCTGCCCACTTTTATGACCTTCATTCAGTAGCATGTTTAACTGAAAAACACTTTTTGCATATATTCCAATTATTTAGATATCTATAGATGTGTTTTGATTCTATGTAATTTGTTTGCAATTTGTTTTATTCATCTTGAAAGGGTTAGAGATCAATCACAGGGCATCTTCCAGATAAATGCTTAACTACTGAACAGTACCCCAGGCATCTTTCATGAGTGTATTTTCTCTGCAACAAGCTACACTAATCTTCTGTGTGTTGTTCTAGTGTAACACTGATTAAAAATATTTTCTGTTTAATGCTTCTCAGACTCTTTATATCTCTGTTGGAATATGCATCCATCTTTCTCTTTCTGTTTTCCATTATGGATTCTTGTTTTTATCTGTTTCCTTTTGAACTCTAGTCATTACCTCCAATTTTATGCTCACTTTTGTTCTGAGTCCCTTTCTCTATTCAGGGTCTCCTATGTTTGACTCTAATTATTGGTAGTATAGATACTTACACAAGGACAATAAGGAAAGTGAACCTCAGATCCGCCAGATACATTCCATCAACTTCAACAAGGACAAATTACACATAAGCCACAATAAAGGAGGAAGAGTCAGATTAATTACCACAAAGACATCTCAGGATCCTTAATGAATTAGCCCAAGACAAGACAAGCTCAACCCTGTAACTCAGTTTACATATGTGACATGTCCAGTTCTCCTAGTAGAAAAAATTAGAGTAAAGATAAAATGGAAGCTCAAATTCTGGACTATTCTGGTTTCTTCACAAGACCAGAGAAAGATACCACTTGCTGACCCATGTTGCCATCAGCATGTTTCTCTTTGTTATTTATATCCATTTATGACTTCTCTGTATTTCCTTTGTAGCTACGCTTATGTTATTGTAGCTACCATTATGTTAAATGGTGTGTGCTTGTGAATCCTTTTTCAATGTCTTTATTGATAAAACTCACCAGGGCTGTCATTCCCCCCAAATAAACTCACGTATTACCTCCCTTGGTACCCATACTCTAGAGCACCTGATATATGTCTTAAAGATAGTGAGGGACAAATGTGGAGAAACTGACCTGTGATCTCAATGTCCAGGGGCATCACTGAGGTCTTAACATGCATAGGGTTGATGTCTGACAGAACCAGAACATCTGTAGATCCTGGTATGTGCAGGGGTTATGGACATGTAGGCCTGGATGCACCCAAAACAAGATTCCCCCAACAAGGTACCAGTGGTTCTGCCTCCTTTATGTCCTCTTTCTGAAAAACCAGAGTGAAG